TAAGTGTCTTCTTCTAACTTAATTTGCCACATCATTATAAAATATAAAAAATACCACATGGACAAAGTTAATGGCCCAAACTAACAGAATGACCAAAATTGTGCAACTCTCAAAGTTGAGGGATCAAAAAAGTGTAAAAAAATAATTGAGAGACAAAAAAAAAAACAATTCTATAAAGTTAAGAGACCAAAATTAGTATTTAACCAAAAAAATCCCCCTCCTCCAAATTCCTCATGTTCAAAAAAAAAAAAGAAATCCCATCTAATCTATTTTAATTCTTAGTACGTTATTTATTACTAGTGATAACAATCTGGAAAAAATCAAGAATTCGATATGAATATGTGGGTCTGAAGTTTGATCGGGTCAGCAAACAGCAGATACAGCACCCGCAGCACGAGCTAGATGAAGTAAAATTAATTTTTTTTTTTTTTAAATGGCAAAACCTTACTCTTAGCCATTTACCTTACTAGATTTGTAAGTTTTAACTTATTATCTTATATTATGACACTCTTAGCCTCTCACCTATTAAAGTTAAAGAAAATAACCCTCATTTTATAATATTTTGTTAGTTATGTTAACTAATTGTTAACTCTATTAGTTGACTATTAATTCTATTAGTTAAAAGTAGATTTTTATCAGTTAATAATTAACTAACAGTTAATTAATAAGGTTAACAGTCAACTAACAGAATAATTATGTTAACTGACTGTTAACTTTATTAACTAAAAGTAAATTTTTATCAGTTAACAATCAAATAATAGTTAACTAATAGAATTAACAGTTAATTAACAAAACTAATAAAATATTATAAGTGAGGCTTATTTTCTTTAATTCTAATAGGTGAAGAACTAAAAATATTATAATATAAGGTGAGGGGTAAAACTTACAAACATAATAAAGTAAAAGTTAAAACCAGCCTTTTACCTTTAAAAAATACTAAAATTAGGTCATCGAATCTGTACGGAAAATGATATGATCTCGCCCATAGCTAATAAATTAACTAAAATGTTATTATTAAATTATTTAAGTTATTGATAAATATTAAAGATCAAATTTTAAATTTTTAATTAAAAATATAAATGATTTTATTAATATATCACATGGTTGATTGTGTTATTGTATACTTTAAGTATAAGAAAATATTCAGGTCCACAAACAAAATAAAAAGAGTAAAAATTGAAATGTATTCTCCAGTTGGTCTAATTTGAGTTTTGTATGTAAGTTTTTTTTTTTTTTAATAGTTTACAATTTTGGGATTAAAAACTAATTCAGATGCCTTAAGATTTGGAGATGAATCACTTAGACCCAAAAGTTCGGTTCGAGTTTTGCATGTAAGTTCGACAATATTTTTACCTAGCAAATAAATAAGAACTAATAACCCAATATTTTTTTCTTTTATAAATAATTTTTGTTGAATAGTTTCACTTATTTAGTTATATTAATTTAACATATGTATAAAATTTAATTAGATGATTTTATACAACAATAAAAAAAATTGAAATAAATTTTCTTTCTAACTATTTTCACTTAGATAATTCTTTTAATTATTATTTATTAACAATATATATAGGAGAAACCTTTTTTTTTTTTTTGAATAATTTTGACATTATTTATAGGTATATATGGGGGAGGGGGGAAATGGGCATCATATGGTTCGAACACGCTACCCACGGAAATGAACGGCTTTAATTCAAGGTTTAATGCTACTGGGCCGAAACGAGCCATTTAGGAGAAACCTATTTATATAGTCTTATACAATATATTTATATATAGGAGATTTTTTATGTTTTTGAAATAAAAAATAATTATTTTAAATAAATATAAATAAATTATAATTATTAAAAATATAAATAATTATAATTTTATATAAATGTAATATGAAACTTTTTTATAAATAAATCATTTACGCGTGTGTTGGTGTATATATCTATATATATATATATACTTGTATATATCTGTCTATATGAGAACTATGATCAAAGGAATATGTGACAAAATACAAGGACTCCACCAATGCAAACCGGCGGGCGGCGATGAAAGGAAATCGCCGGGAACGTGAAAAAATGGACGCCAGCGGGGGTGCCATGCTGTGGAGAGATGCGTCCCCATCTCAAAAAACAACAAACAAATACGAGCTGGGTCTAGTGCAATGTGACGTGGAGCAAATTGGACAAGAGGTTCCACTCTGTTGAAAGAATCTCTACCCCTTGATCTAATCAACGTCTCCACAATTATAAAATCAAAGACTTCATCATTCCCGTTAGGACCCCGAGTCTTCCCTTCTTGCCTTTCATTTTTTCTTTCCGAACATCATTTTCACCATCAAAAAATCCTACATTATTTAATGGTGAAAGACACTCAGGATTAGCCCATTGTGGTATTTAATTATCTGAGTTTGGTTTAGTTTTTACTTTTATTTTTTAGCAGTGGACTGCTGCTTTATACCCGTATGTACAGAGTCACAGAGAGGGCTGCTTTCTTTGTTCCCGTTTTCATGGTCTCATACCTCAATTGTTAGTTAGTTGCTTCCTTGGTTTCCCACATGGAGAAAAGCTTTCTCCTTTTGTTTCTCTGGTTGTTTCTCCTTTTTCTCTTGGATTCATCCTCTGCTCAGATGCCAGGTACATACTATTTCTGTTTGAACTGATTTCTCTTTTCTTTTCTTTTCTTTTCTTTTCTTTTCTTTTTTTTTTTTTTCTGGGTTTTCTACCTGTGTTTGTTTGGTGTGGTTAATGGTCTCCAATCTTTGTTTATGTTAGGTAACACCCAATTGAAAGACAGGAATTAAAAGTAACCCCTTTATAATTTTGTGAAATTTTTCTGAGAAAGGATTATCACTTGGTAAAAATTAACAAATAAAAATGAGGGAGAAGGATACAAGAATGACCAGACACAAAGTAAGCTAGTCTTGGGTTTTTGATGCTATCTTTCTAGGTATTAATATTTGATTTTTGGAGACTTGGAGTAGAGAAATGAAGTGAGACCTTGACGGCAGGTTTGGAGTACCGGAAACAATGCAGGATAGGACAAAGTTTTTGTCCTGTATTGCTATTCCCATGTTTGGTGGAACAAAGGATGGGACACGCATCATCCTACATTTTATCCAATCCAGACCCTTTTTTTATTAAATGTATCCCACCCTCCTGTTGGGTTTGCTACCCAGACTCTAACTCTTTTGTTTCTTGTTATATTATCTTCTTTTTACAAAAAAAATAAAATAAAATGTATCCCAATCTCCCATGGGATTCGGTGGGATCAAATTGAATTTTCATATTTTACCCCTTCTTTTTTCCCATTGATTTTCTCCTCGCATATGCCTACACATCGGCACCGGTGTTGCTTTGTTTCACCAACTCCGAAAATGCATTTTTCATCTTCTGCTGCCGATCTCCATTCTCATAAATCTGGATCATCTATTTTATCTTAGGCCATCGATCTTTTTGTAAATCTTCTGTCATCCCTTTCTTCTTCTTCCATCACTGATTTCATTAGTCTCCGATCACCCCTTTCCCTTTCTTTTTCTCCACTTTTTCTCCTAAAATAAAGAAATCCAAATTTATCCTACTCCTTTTCTCACTCAAAAGGTACTTGGATGTCATATTTCAGTTTCATTCAATCGACAACGATGTCATCGTCTCCTCATATACATTCCGGTGACTCTAAATATATATATATATATATATATCTTTATTTTCTCTTTTATCCATGCTAAGATTTGCTGATTTGCTTCTCAGACAAAATATTAGAGTTAGGAAGAAAACTCTAGCTTGCAGAGGTAAAGAAGAACATGGAAAGTACTGGAGATATTGAGAAAATGGAAGAAAAATGTATTTAAGAAGTCAGGAGCTGTTTGGGAGTGGAGAAAATGAAATAGAAAATTGCAAGAAACTTTTGAATGGTGTTAATAAGTTTTTCCATTTTTAATAAATAAATTGAATTGAAATAATAGGGGTATTTTTGTCAACAAATAAATATTTTAAGTCAATCTCATGTTTAATCTCATGATTCAATCAAGAACAATTGAACTTTTAAATAATCCAATCCAGAACAATTGAACTTTTAAATAATCCAATCCAATCCAATCCTATCATTTGAATCCTATCTCATCCAATCCTAACTTATGTTCCAAACATGCTGTGAATGTTTGAGTTCAATTAAGTATCTGGGTCCTGAACTTTTAACATGCTGGACCCGGTTCCATACCAATTTAAAATTCTGTGGTTGTACTCCATAGGTGAAGTACAGGTTAGAGGCACTGAAAAAAAAAAAGGAGGAAAACGGTGGTCCTTGGCTCTGCTGCTACGTTGTTTACTTGTTTTATTCAATCAACTTGATAGTTCTATTTTGAAGTTGTGGTCTAGATGTGGTTAAGGAGTCAAGTTTTCCTCAACTATAGGTTGTTTTAAATTATTATTGAAGTGAAGTTATTCTTTGAAATCCTGCAAAATAGATGGTCTCTGCCAATCATCCCTTCTCATTAAATGTTTTAGTTGATATCCTTTCTGAACCAGAAATGCTTTATATATTTTTTTTTACCTTGATATTCTTATGAGGTTATGCTTCTTTATTATGATAGATAAATTCATTCTGTTTTGGCGGCCAAAAAAAAAAAAAAGAAAATTCATGTGCTTAATGACATATCCTACTGGGATCTGTTTTAGTGATTAGATTATGACATAAGAATCTTGCTGTACTTTTGGTCCTTCAGTGCTGACAAATGTAGACATTTCACGCAGGTTTTGTTAGTTTGAATTGTGGAGGTAAAGAAAATTTCACTGATGAACTTGGCCTTGAGTGGACTTCTGATGATTTTCTCAAGTATGGAGACACAACAAGTACATCTGTTGCTAATGAGACAAGGAAGCAATATAAGACAGTGAGGCA